TGGACAACACACATGTCACCACATGATTGTCGGCTTTCCCACTGGTGGTACAGTGGTTATTCCTCACCCCACCCTCACGGGGGTCTTTTGGAACCTCCCCAGACTCGAACCTCCAACCTCTACCACCTTAACGAAGTTGAGGCGAAGTCTGGTACCATTGAGTCAACTTTTATGTAACAGCCCTCCTGGGTCACCACTGCCTCTCCAGGGTCTTTTCCCAGGCGCTGGACAACACACATGTCACCACATGATTGCCGGCTTTCCCACTGGTGGTACAGTGGTTATTCCTCACCCCACCCTCACGGGGGTCTTTTGGAACCTCCCCAGACTCGAACCTCCAACCTCTACCACCTTAACGAAGTTGAGGCGAAGTCTGGTACCATTGAGTCAAGTGACTCAATGGTACCAGACTTCGCCTCAACTTCGTTAAGGTGGTAGAGGTTGGAGGTTCGAGTCTGGGGAGGTTCCAAAAGACCCCCGTGAGGGTGGGGTGAGGAATAACCACTGTACCACCAGTGGGAAAGCCGGCAATCATGTGGTGACATGTGTGTTGTCCAGCGCCTGGGAAAAGACCCTGGAGAGGCAGTGGTGACCCAGGAGGGCTGTTACATAAAAGGCGCCTTTTAATGTAACAGCCCTCCACTCACCCCGCCTCCCCGAGGTCTTTTGCGGCGCTGGACACTCTCCCCCCAGGCCCCACAACAGGGCGACCCCACCCCTTACGGTGAGCATCAGGAGACAAAGGCTTCCCCGCAGTAGTGTGCGGATTATTCCCCTTGCGGAGAGCCTCCCCAGGTTCGATCCTCCAACCTCTACCACCTTAACGAAGTTGAGGCGAAGTCTGGTACCATTGAGTCAGACTCAATGGTACCAGACTTCGCCTCAACTTCGTTAAGGTGGTAGAGGTTGGAGGATCGAACCTGGGGAGGCTCTCCGCAAGGGGAATAATCCGCACACTACTGCGGGGAAGCCTTTGTCTCCTGATGCTCACCGTAAGGGGTGGGGTCGCCCTGTTGTGGGGCCTGGGGGGAGAGTGTCCAGCGCCGCAAAAGACCTCGGGGAGGCGGGGTGAGTGGAGGGCTGTTACAATTTAGAAACCCTATGTGAAGTGGAATAGAAAAGTGTTTTTTGAATATTGTGTATTTAAAAGACTAAACCTTATATTCAAGTGTAATTATTTATGAATTTTTATAGTTTTAGTGGGAACTTACTTGTTACGAATATGTGTGGAAATAATTAAATTGTGAAAATTATATTTTGTGGCTATATGGAATCACAAACTATATGTTTGGCATGATTATTGTGAGAGGGTGGGAGTTCACCCTAGTGTGTTGTTAAGGATATTGTTTAGAAATTTATATGGTATATTGGCACTATGAAGGCTCCGATACTTAGTATTAAAATTTTTAGTATTATGTGAGATAGATTGGGCATTGACACCCCTAACATTCGAGAGCAAGGGGAATCTGTGGTTTATAGTAGTCGAAGGAGCTCTTGGCTAGGGCTGCCTCCTACTAATAGTGAGCTTGAGCCAATCTAGTTATATAGATTTGGTTTTATTGAATTGTCAGCCCACAAATTTAGTTGGAAGACATAAGAAAGATATAAGGTGGTGTGTTGATCATGCATATCATTCTATAACCATATGTATGTTTGTGTAGCTTGCTATGCATTTTAAATGCCACTTTATATATGCACTATCTATTCTCACACACGAGTAGTTCGATTAGACTATTTAGTTATTAAGTCCTCGACTCATCCCATGGTTGTATTTTATAGGTGAAAGCTTTGATAGGAGCAAGGGAAAGGAAGGTGCGATCGAGCATTGAGGAAACTAGCTAGTGTTTGTAGAGTCCTTTCTATTTCTATTAGTTTTGTAATGAATGATATATACATTTGCCAACTTAGAAATCATATGTTATTTTGAGAAGTACTTGCCTGAATGCTATTATGAAGTGAGATATCTTGGCCTTAGATGTAGTATTTGTGTTGTAATGGCTATGAGAGATTGATATACTAGTACAAGTGTTATTTTATGTTGATTCACATGGTTGTTTGGCTATTGGAATGATTATTGTATGTTTGTTACCCCCTGTGGCATTTATGCTAAATTGGGGTTTAGGTGGCTAAATCTTGTCTGGGATGTTGTTGTTGTGGTTTGAATGTATGTACATATTGTTTGTGGTCCATTTGAGATGGATCAAGATGTTCCACAATTATTGACACTTGATATATAAGTTTGGACACCTTGGTTGTAGTTTTGAGAAGAAAATGCACCATTTTGGATTTGGCTATCAAATTTCTTTTGGTGTGGTGTGTGGATGTGAGACCAGTGCTAATAACTAGGTGGCTTTAAGAGTTACGTGTGGACACTTGAATTGTTTAAATTAGACGTTAGACGGTAAAATGATGCGCTCTGGAAGTTAGCCTAAAGCGTTGTCATGATAGTAGTTGCGCGTTGTGGCTTATTGACACTTGAGTTATAGCGTGAGACACAGAGAGGGACGTTTCCCTCTATGCAGTCCACGGTAGGGTGAGGCCTGTGCCACGACACATTATACCATTTTTTGGAAAACTTTTCAAAATTATTCCTTTTGCATTTCTTATATATGTTTTGGGCTCTTATGCTTCTATTACCTTATTCGATTGGTTTTAAACTATAATTTAGGCTCAAATGAATTTTAAAAATGATTTTCTTGAATCTTAATTTTTCTTGAATCTTAACCCTTGAGTTCTAATAATCACTTTTGAGGGATTTAAATGTCTTAGTTATCATAATGGGATTCCCTGTTTGGTGTACTGTGTTTGGTAATGTTGGGGATGATGTTACAAAGCAACAAGGAGACATTTGGGGAAAACATCATTCAAATGTTGGCCTTGGATTAAGATCTTTTGCATTATCTGTTGGATCATCTGGAAAAATAGATACGGTAGGATTTTTGAAAGCTAAGGTAGCATAACAAGTCAAATTCTCTATTCACTCCTATTCAATTTGATGGAAGACTCTAGCAGTGGCCACTATAAGCATGATGTGCTCTAAGAAATTCAAAGTAATAACTCTTTTTAGACTAAACCTAGGCATGGATTCATTTGTGTTGATGTTAATGCCTCAATTGGGTATTTGAACCAAGCAGCATGTGGAGGAGTGCTTCAGGACCATAAAGGTCATTGGATTCTTAGTTTTAATTGTAAGTTGAGGCTTACTACTATCTCAACGACAAAGATCTTGAAAATTTTCTCAGGTTTATCGATTTGTAAACAGAATGGATTTAACAAAATTTAACTATTTGCTGACTCTCTTAAGGCTATTAACATTTTGATTCGAGATAGTGGAAGGAATCATCCTCATGGAAGTATCATTGATTCAACTAGAAATATCATATATTAGGATTGGAAACTAGAGGTCAACTATAGTTGGAGAGAAAGCATCAAATGTGTAGATCAAATGACAAGACTAGGCCATTCTTCTAGCACTAATATCACAACCTTTTTGGTAGCTTCAACTAAATGTAGTCAAAATCTAGTTGACAACTTTGTTAATAGTGTTTGGTTTGTTCTAATTTGTACTCACTTCAAGATTTGTTTACCCTTTTATTGGAAAAAAAGGGTTTACATTTTATAGTATAGGTTAGATTTAAAATAGCAATATTTAGGTTTTTATCTAATTGATTGGTTTTGTGCCTCTTCCATGCCGATACTTAGTCTGGTTTTTTAAACATTGTTTATAACTTTTACATTTTTATAAATTAACATTATTCTCTTTTAAACTTCTATAATCATGCACCTAATTCATTGTAAAAACAAAACTTTATAGTGAAATAAAAATTAATTTTATTACAAATAATTTAATGATTTACACTGGAAAAGATATTGCAATTTTTTTTAAGAAAATGAGATAAATGAACTTTATTCAATCAAGAAGAAAATAGTATAACTCTAAAAATTTGAACTTGTTGGAGTATTGTTATTATAGATTTTACCTTATATTAACATAATTATATTTATTTTGTATATTATTATAACTAACTTTACAGTTGTTATGTTATATATTCTATTCTTAATTTTAATTTCACATATATATATCAACTAAATATTTAAAATTATATTTTATAAAAATATCATTATTTTATATTATACTCCTTTGGTCCTTTAATAATTCTTTTTTATGAATCTTTTCAATATCAATACAAAGAAAGTATGAGGAATAAAAATATATAAAATTTTAAATATGTCCTAATATAACAAATTTAAAAAGTGATGTTATGTCATTTTTTCTCTTTTATGAAGGATAATTTTGATAATACCTTTTAAATATTATCTAAAATTCGCATTGTTACTTATAAATAAAATTAAATAAATCTTCTAGAATGTAATTTATAAATAAAATCGGGGGAAATATGTGCAATAACAATTGTGAATTATGCTCTGATGGACTTAGTAGTAAAAATAAAGTACCCATTTTACATAACCTATAACTTACACCGTGTGACATCATTGAAGGTTGCTAAATTAAAATTTATTTTTAGTTAGAGAATTATTATTATATCATCATTTGTATATTAAAGTAGTTAAACTTCATTAGTAAGTCAAAATTATGGCAGGTGAGTTGAATGACGTAGTAAGAGAATCAGCAGATGGTCAGATCACTGTGGAATCCCTCTTCACGAACAGTTCCTAGCGTGCTTTATTAGGGTAAATCCCAGTAATTATGAACCTTTGAATGATCCTGAAATCGAGAAATGAGAGCAATAACAGGCTTCAATGATGATTATCCAAATCTCAATCTGACACGCTATGAGATTGCCCTGCGGATTGGTCTTCCGAGATACATATCAAATCAAAGGATACGAATCATGAACCTCTGCAAAAAAGCAAGTGCAAAATGAGACTAAGAGCCATTTAAGTCCATCACTTCCCAATTTGTTCTGATTTGATACCAAGCGTCGGCAGATCCTAGGATGAATTGTGCATGAAACACCATTTAAAGCGGGGCTATATGATGCCATCAATTAGACTTTGCCATATATGGACACCCAATTTATATGATTAAGCAAATTCTAGTCCACAATCAAATACTCCTCACTTTCCTGGCCGACCAGCGACCGACCGGTATATTAAGCACTTTCAAAAAGAGGACGATGTTCAAAAACTGAAATGGAGTGGAGTTATGACCTGAAACCCACCATCAAGTTAGGAAGGGCAAGCAATAAGCGTCCACCTAACAAGAAATGACTGTCATGATTTGGAGCAGATCTACCAACATCATGGATTTGGCCAAAAAAAAAAAGTTGGGTAAAAATTTGAGAAACATATAATCAAATATTAAATACTAAGTCAGCTTCAACCTGGCTTTGGCCTTGGAAGACCCAAGCGAAAACAAGTGAAACCTTTGATCGCTCTTCTTGTCTGGGGAGAAGAAATGAATGGCGTGGATGTATCATCTTGGTTACTCATGGAGGATAGCGCAGATTCAGAAGCAGACTCTGGCTTATTTAGTCTCTATCCCAGCACGGGCACTATTGCTGGTCATAATGAGGATGACGCTGAATCTTGTAATTATGACACAGACGGTATATATGGTCTATCTGAGGTTGGTGATGGTCATGAAGATGATCAGGAAGCCGGTGAATTTAGTTGTCATGAAGATAACATGGATGAGCTGGATTCTCAAAGCTCCATGACATGGCAATCAGATGCAGCGTCAGAATGCTTTTCTCCTTTGCCTATGGAAGATGAACGAGAAGAAATAAAGATGGAGGTTGATAAAAAAGAAACGAAGATAGGTGGAGTTAATTTCCGTGAACTGGAAGATAGACTATTTTGGGAGACTTGCATGGCAGTGGGGTACCCGTGAAAGTTGAATTTTAGATCGGGGGCAATGCATCTTCTAATTTTTTCCCCCGCACTTGCTCTTTAAGAACAAGGAATGTAATTAAACCTGTGTGTATCAGATTGCAGATGTGTATAAAGTCCTTCATCTGTCTCATTTTCAAGCAGTCCGTCTACACTAAATCTGTTTGTTTTCGCAGAACGTCAAGTTTTTGGTTCAACGGCCAAGGGAATCAGGTTGTCAGCTAATTTCGAAAAGCTAAAGTTAGTCTCCGTATTCCAATCAACAATTGCAGATAACAAAACACATCAGGAATAGTACACCATTTGATTTGAAAATCTACATTTTGAAGGCTGTGATTCATCCAAAGGCTGCCCATGATCAACAAGCAAGGCAATAGGCCAATAGCCACGACAATATCATAGTTATTATAACAAATTGCTAGTTCTGATGCTATTACTTTACTTCACATATGCTCTCCTTTTGTTTTTGTTTTCCTTCTTCTCTTGCATACTCTCCTAGCTACACCTTCATGAAAATCTGTACAACAACAACAACAACAAACCTTTATCTCACTAGGTGGGGTCGGCTATATGGATTGCAAGACGCCATTGTGCTCTATCATTTATCAAGCTTTTAGGAATATTATTAATTAAGAGATCGCGTTCAATAACTTTCAAGAGTATTTTCTTAGGTCTCCTTTCATGAAAATCTGTGAAGGAACAAAAAAAAAATGGTCCATACTTAAGTCAGGATTTTTTCCTTCTTTCAGCATCAAGATGTTTCCAAGGATTGAGAGCTTCTCTGACTGCATTAGCTTCAGGAGAATTCTCCCACGCACGCTTCTCTGACTCCAAAACAGTTACTTTGTCATCTGCATGATACAAAGGAATGCCAACAAATTCAAGATTCTTGACAAGGCCATATTTTTTGTTGATAAAGATAAAGAAAATCTTTCATGAATCGTATCTCAATAAGCCAGCTCCCAATATCTTATTAGTGTACGAGGTGCTGCTAACTGGTTATGAGATGCAACTTGACCGGTTGAAAAGTTGGGTATCTTCTGTTATAAGAATGAAACTACACTAGAATAAATGCTATATCAAGTGCTTGACATACAGCTTTTCCCCAAGCAAAACTCGTAAAAAATCCAGAATTTCATGGTAACGCACAATGTCATTATGCTTTCATTGCTTCAATTTAGTTTATATACTTCATATGTAAATTTGAGTCAAATAAACAAAGTCAGCGAATTTTTCTCCCTCATCCTCAAAAATGATCTGTCACCAGAAATGATGGAAATGCAGCTAGCTAATTTGTCTGAAGGTTTTTACATTAAAGATCCGTAATTTGGTCCAATGTAACAATCCTTTCAAGGCTTGTTAAAACAATTTTTCAGAATTTTCAACGTTTAATTAAACACTTTATCAGTATTTCACAGTTTTCCACTTCACGACAAATGACATCTCCCAAAAACCTGTGATAAGCAACAATGACCGTCCATGGCCACAGCAACCTTCATTTCAACTCTCCATTTGAAAAATTTAATTACCACCAATATGTTTGCTGCAAGTCTGGTCATACAATAATTGAAACAGACCTAATAAGATTTTTTATTTTCAAAAAAGAAAAAGGAGGTTTCTCACACAGAAGCCAGTTTTGATCATGAACAACTCCATAGAAGCTCCAATCAAGGCTGACACAGCCCCAATCTTCAAATACCAGTCCAGAAACTTCATTAAAGCTGCATTAAAGACAATGATCATTGTTGATAAAAATAATAATTCAATAAAGGAAATTCCCTTGCTACTAAGGAAAGGTAATGGCATGATAAAGAAAAGAAGACCACCACAAGTTGCACAACAAAAAGGTTTTATCATCCAGGCAGGTATTAATGCTTGACTTTTATTCAAGGTCTGCTAGGGAATTTTAAGAGTCGGCAGAGAATCAATTTTTAATTGTTGCTAAGTTAAGGACAACCATTTCACTGTTTTCAATAAAAAGTGAAGTCAGTAAATCAAAGGAAATAATCTACAAGGCTAAAAAGGATTAACACAGATATGATAAATTCGTGCAGCTCAATTGCAGGTGATATTTCAATTGTGAGACAAACTACTTCTAAAGGAAACTAAGTACAATGCAAAACACGGACAATACAAGTGCAAGTACACTTTTTGTTGCACTCCTCAACAACTAGTTAAGTAAATCCATATATTCTCTGCCAATGATACTTGGGACCCATTTGGATACGCAAGATTTTAGAACACGAAATGGAAATCAGCCTCCTTCCCACCTACTTGGGCATTTGGTTTCAGAAAGGGAGAGAAAAGTAGTGTTTCCTTCAAACAGAGGAGAGACGTTTCCTGCCAGGGGTGGGAGGACAGCTGGGTCCAGGGAGGGAGAGGGAGGTAAATTTGTGGAACTACCCATGAAGAAGCAGAATAGGTTGATAAAGAGGCATGTGTACCAGATTTACACAGAAGAGGTGGAACAGATTGAAAATTTATTAGCAGGCATTGGAAATTAAAATATTTGCACAGATTGATTGAAAATTTATTATCAGCCAATTGTCCACTCTAGCTCAATCAAAATCTTTGCTCCACGCAATGTCCACTGAAGGTGTATAGAATCCGAAGCTTGAAAGCAAAAATTCCACTCCTTTCCATCACTTTAAATTAAGTGAACCAAACAGGTCTGGGGTGAATAATTGGCATAACTCAAATCATCTACCAGAAAGCCTTCAATCAATGTGAATGCGAAATAGTCAATCATCCAAATGTTAAACGGGAGTAAAAGAGTATCTATGAAACAAACCAACGTGAGTCTACCGCATGCCATGAAATAATTAAGCTTTCACTTCAGCAAGGGGCAGAAGGGAATTAAATGCAAGTGAACATAAAAACAACGCATTGCCTGAATAAGAGCATGTGTGTATGTGTGTCTGTGAATAATTGAGGCACAGAATCACAGGAGTGAAGATGAAATACCTAGACTAGGAATCGCAGGACCGAGACGGAGAAGACGACGAAGACAGTTCAGCCGAGGCAGAAGAAGGCGATGTTCCCAGGAAAACTGCAACAACGGATGGACCGCTGGTGGGCCCATTTGTTGGGCTCATACTCGATGGGCCATTAGATTGACTCATGCTGGTGGGCTCATTTGCTTATATTGAATAGCCCAAATCCATTTTTAATGCAAGTTAACCCAAACACATTTTAAAAAAAAAAACAATGAGCGTTCGATGGAGTTAGAAAGTACTATGACTGACATTTCTTTAGGCAAAATTCAAACGAGAAGTGACAAATGTGATAATTAAAACAGTCTCAAAAAAATTGTCCCAAGGATACCATGAAAGGGTAGTTTAATACCAAAAAAAAAAAAAACATCATATTACTTCATCCATCAACTCACACCATCTACAAGTACTTGATGGACCATTAGATTGGACACATGCTGATGGACTTTTTTGCATATCTTGAATAGCCCAAATTCAATTTTATTGCAAGTTAACCCAAACACATTAAAAAAAAAAGATGACAACCTCATGTCACTTCATCCATCAATTCACACCATCTACAAGTACTTCAACTGCAAAATCACCTCGATCGAGTTAAATATGATTTATCACGGGGAGCATCCTTTTCATAAAACTTACTAAATTTATTATTTAAGTCATAATTTCATCACTTAATTAACCACGTGCATGCTTATTAGTCCAAACTCTAAACTGTTGAGTCAACAGTGATGCATACAGCATTGCAAGTGTGGGCAGATCATATCATTCAAAATAAAGCATATTGAATAGATTGAGGTTTGGTGGTGATCTCAAACAATATATGAAAATAGAAAAATCCATCAATGCCGTTGACGCTGATACGATCATGCGATTCATGTTAGCATTGACTGATAAAAAAAGATAGATAATTATTACTTAGTTCAAAATTTCTGATTCATGTAAATAAAACGTAACGTGAGGACTGAGCTAGATCTGGGCTGCGGACTTGACGCATAGATTTTCTTCTCACAATTACCATTGTTGAATTTTTGTGTTAGGAAATTACATTGTTTTTCATAAAAAATACACTTTTTTAAAAAAGTCAGATTTAAGTATTATTAAACTCAATTGAAGGTGAACTCTTCCAATTATATTTTCTACATTTATATGAATAAAAATATGAGATAATTCTATACTTGAGTGATCATAATGTATTCCACCAAGTAAGGGCAACGCATATTGGTGTTACAGGTTTTAAAGTCTAATGTAAAAGCATAATTATAATTTCTTAAATGTCATGCAAAATATACAAAACCCGAGGCTGAGTGAAACGAGATGAAAAGGACTGTCATGACATGGTTGACATTAATGTGGATTGGGTATGAATCAAAGGAATAAAATTGAAAAAAAAGTCGTTAGTAAATGTCTGGCTGGTGAGGATCGATAGAAACATGACAACAGCAAGTGAAAAACAAAGAAATGTGGTATTTGAATTCAGACTATGGCATATGCTGCTTAGTTTAAACTTAACAAAATAAAGAAGGACATGATGCTCCCGAGTTAAAGCAGGTGATGCTTGAGTTGTAAGCAATGATCTAACACGCGCCCGCGCCCACAAAATGTTAAGCAGTATCTAACATCCTCTATTAAATTGTACTAAAATGAATAACTACAGATATATCTATTCACCAAAACATTCCCTATATTTTTAAAATTTAACTTCCATCCATCCAATCCATAGTTAAATCATATGTGTTGGACTAAAATATCCCTGTTTAATTATGAATATTGTCCAAAAATCATTCAAATTGCAAAAAAATAAAAATAATACATACATATTTTTTTTTACTTTTTTTATTTGTATTTCAATTTTAATTGTGTAAACGTATTTTTTTGTATTTATTTAGTATTTTTAAAAAAATTAAATACATAATTTGGTCTAAATAATATTCAAATACACAATTAAAAAATGTATGAAAAATTTAAATATAATAAATTACTCAATTTAATTTATGTTTATTTTTTAAAAAATTCATTAATTTCAACATAAAAATTTTAAAATATTTAGTTAAATATTGATATGCTTAATTATTTAAAGTTTTTAAAAATTTAGAGAGATAGAGAGAGAATAGACAATTAGATTATAAGGGCAAATTTATAATTTTAAATTTTTTTACATAATTACAAATAAAAAATTAAGTATTTTAATATCCTTAACGAAATATTCCTGATGATATTAAAAATTGGATTAAAATGTAAGTTTTAAAAATAGAGAAGAGTTCTCTGTAATTTTAGGAAAACGAAAGGGAGTTCAAATTTATTTTACTAAAAAAAAAAGAAAATTACAATCAGTACTTGAATATAAAAAATTTAAATTTTTTTTTAGTCTATTTATAATTTAATTTATATATTTACATATTAAATTTCGATACGTATTTATAAATGAACGGATTCGCAAATAATCATAATATGAGATTTATATGTAATTTTTTTAAAATATCTGGGCGTGCCATGATGTGAATTATGAAGCATGCATGTTGCTTGCAACATACATTATATTATATTACACTCTATATCTACAAGCGACAATATATTATGGTGCAACAGTCCATATCAATAGACGACAATGATTCAGCTAATTGCACGGCGGAGAAAGTGAAGGAATATTTGATTTTTCGTGAAACTTATTTTTAAATCAAAAGCATCGTAATCGTATATTTTAATACTACGCACTACCGCACTGCTGAATAACCTTCAACATGTTTTTTCTTAAAGAAAAGAAAAAAAAGTATTAATTCAATATCTTAACTTTTAGCTCGTACAATATTATTTTTTCGTAAATCTGGTCATTATAAAGATTCAAACCTTAATTTTCCTATAATTACTTGTTTAAGTTTCTGACGAGGCTGCTGATAATCTAACTGAAATGGCTTTGTCATCTCTTATGAGTTTCTTCCCGTTTGTCCCTGTTGTCTGTTTCTTGTTTTATAAAATAAATACACACACAAATAAAAACTTATAATAAAAGGTAAATAAACAAAACAATATTCATAAACCAAGAAAAATATAATTTTTTTTACCGTGATAAATCACATAATCACTGTTTTAAGAATTGGATCAGACTAGACAGTTAAACTAATTTCACCGCCATATGCTCTAATAAACTACCAAGTTTCATGTTTTAAGCTATTTTGAACCGGTTATTGAGTTTAAAATTGAAGTTAAAGAAGAAAACAAGTCAGATTTCTAAGATCGGATTCATCCTTTCTTCCTAAAAATACTCACATTATCATGCCCCCATGTTGTCCTGTAAACTAAATTCAACTTTTCTGTGAACTGTAAAACTGGATTTTGTAAATTTATTTTTATGTTATTTTAATAATTTGATATTTTTTTAATTATACATATGTTATTATATATTATGCTATTTTTTAATTTAATTATTGATGGATCAGGTGAACCATCGAAACAGTGGGCATAATTTCATAATTTCTTTTGTACCATAAATGAACTCGTAAAAAAGTAAATAAACAAGTGTGGAAAGTTGTGGTGTCCACTCACAAGTCGTAAATAATTGTTAATATTGCAATTGCAAATGTGCGAAGCGCCAAACATATATGACGATTGACGACGACACCAACTGGTCTGAACCGAACCGGAGTCTTCGGACTGAACAGTGAACCGTACACATCTCCTCCGAGCGAGCTCTTTCAAGAAGTTTCATCCTTTCCCAATCCTCGTCATTCTCTTCTGCAGCTAAACAAGGAACACTGTCATTCCATGTATGAAATACTTGATGCTCTCAACGACCCTCAGTCTTCCACCAAATATTTAATACTCTTGCATTGCTACTATTTCTTTGTCGGCTTCTTTCATGAATGCCTTTTTTTTTTTTTTTTCCTTTCTTCCTCTTTCTGGTTTTCCCTAATAATTTTACTCTTCCTTTCCCTTTCTGGGATTTTCCCGTTTCATAGTTTTGATCTTTGAAGCTACAAATCATGCAAGCGACTCAGGCTGCCACGAATGAAACTTCTGATAATTCACAAAAGGTTGGATTTCTGCGATTGATCTGTGTAACATTTAAAGTTATGTGCTTTTAAATACTCTATTATCACTATAAAAAGCAAGATGGTTATTCTGCTTTTCTTCTAATTCAATTCATGACACATGGATAAAAAATTAAGGAAAAAAAAAAGACAGCTGCAGTAGGTTTCTAACTTTTAGCTTGTATACTTGAATCTAGTAATGTTGATTTTACAGTTTGTTTTTCTGCAATCTTGTGGATGAAATGTTGTAGTTTGTGATTAGTTTCACTTTTGGCTATTTGTTATTATTGATCCAATTGAAATCAAGGGGTTGCTAATTTCAGCTTATCCTATGCTTACTTGAAACCGTTCCTGAAAGCTAGTCCTTGTACTAAAATCCCTTTATAGATTTGCGTCCTAGTTTCAATATTTACCATGACTGAATAATTTGTTCTTAACTGGTTACTTTCCAGAGAACATATCACGCATAATCTGCAAATTACCAGTTGGATTTCATAAATTTGTGTTCATTAAAAATTTTTAGTTCATGTGAGGATGAAAGAGACCCATGAGGTAAAATTTACACTCAAATTGGAAAAAGAGAGAATCTGGAGTTAAGTTTATAGGCATTGCAATGGTCGCAATCCCTGATGCTGGCGAGTCATTCATGTATTTGCTTTTGATGTAGTTGACACTTACAGACAGAGTTGCGGATGTATATAGGTTTTTCTTCTCTAATTGGAAGTTTGTTCTGTACTTCATTGCAACTGGCATGCTCTATATGTATGCACTCTGTAATCTATGGTGCTTTGACTGGTCATGTTGTATTATGACTAAACACAAGTTCTTAAAATTGTTTGTTAGTTGCAGACTGACCTTCAGCTAAACAAAGAAGTGTCGGATAATGGACCAAGTGGGAGGCGGCCAGATATTTCACTTCAAATCCCACCTAGACATTTAGGGCTTGGAAGTACACGTGGTGTAAGGTCTCTGGACCATTCTCAAAGTTTCTCTAAAGTGATTCCATCGCCACGAGGCTTTTTGCGGGCGCTGAGCCTCAAAAGGAAAGGCAAAACAGGAGAGGCTGAAAGAAGCAGCCTCCTGTATTCAGATCCCAAGGCAGCTCCGGACAGTCCAAATACGGCCAACTTTACATCTGCAGTTTCATGGACAAGATGCACTTCTCTTCCTGTGACACCTGCTACAAATCTGTCCCCTTCAATTTCTACACCTGCATCTGCAAGGACATACAGCGAACAGCCTAAACACCATGCAAGTTACCTTCTATCTCCTGTGTATGCCTTATTCATGGAAATTCAAATAGTTTCTGCATCTGGATCCACGTGAAGGTTTAATTCATGGTCAAAAGTTATGTTACTCTTGGGGTTTGGCATCAAACCTGATGTAGACATTTAATCAAGCTTTTGTTTAGTGCATTGTAAAACTATTATGACATGAGCACACTAACGTGATATTACTCTTTGCCTTGGGATATTGGCATTTGTGATAGTAAAACAAGCTAAGGATTCTTTTTAATTTTGTGCAGAAAGCTCCTGCTGCTTCAGGTTCCAAGGTTTCAAGGTCCCTCTCTGTGCCTGGGCGGAATATGGTTATTGTAAGATCTTTGTCTTTCGCTGCCCATAGTGAGCATGCACAGCAAGATCAGAATGATGGTACGTTATGTCAATTCAAAGATGATTTGAATGATTTAATCTAATAGACTTTATCATTAGCAGGCAAGTTCTGTTGACATCATATTCATATTTAGACAGCGCATCTAATTGATAATTGAGTTAATTTCTGAATTGTATCAGTATTATAGTGCTGGACTCTAGTTTAATTTCTGAATTCTTATTGAGTTGGTGACACTTGAGTTATCCAGTCTTTTGCATATATTGCACGTAAATAGGAGAATATATATATATATATATATGAAGGTATTTTGACCAGATTGATATATATTATATTCACTGTGCAAATATATATATACGCGATTACAAGGCTGACTGTACAAGGCAATAATCGGAAAAAATCAAATCACTTATTTACCCTCATAATCTTATCTAATCATATCCCCATAAATCAGAATCATATCCCCATAAATTAGAAAAGAATATTTCCTAATTAATTATATTTCACAATATATATGTTCATATCTAACGTTGGTTTCTTAGCAAACCAGATCAAATAACTCCTGTGCCAGTGGAAGATGCTGATGAAGAAATTCCTGAAGAGGAAGCAGTTTGCCGAATCTGTTATGATGTCTGTGATGAAAGGAACACCCTCAAATTAGAGTGCAGTTGTAAGGGCGACTTAACACTTGTTCATGAAGAATGTGCAATTAAATGGTTTACCACAAAAGGAAATAAGAAATGTGATGTTTGTTGTCAAGAGGTTCAGAATTTACCTGTAACATTGCTTCGTTTGCCGAGCTCTGCTCAGACAGGAAGGAGACAGGTGCAGGGTGAGCAGAGCATGCATCCTGAGACAATAAGGTGATTCGATAATCACATCCTCAAACTTAATCTGTTCTTGCATTATAAAACTAATATACTCTAATTGAAAATCCAGGCCGTAAGTTTTTGTACATTCACACACATGGATTTCATCTTCTATTTATAAGATAGTATCAAGAATTTTCGTCAGTCCATAGTGTCAAGAGTTTTCTCATTTCATCATTAACATGGCTGGTAATGAAGTGTTACTTTGGCAACTTATTTTCAGAATGAATTAACGGGTGCTTCAATTGCTAAGCATCTAATATTGAGTATTCATTCTTTAGTTTTCATCAACCACGGTTCAGTAACGTTTTGCTGATTCATTATTTGCTCCTATTCTTTTTACAGTGCTTGGCAAGACTTTGTGGTGCTTGTCCTAATAAGCACAATATGCTATTTTTTCTTCCTCGAGCAGCTACTGGTATGCCTATTTGCTATAAGAGAAAGCTTATGGGAAATAAATTTCATGATTATACAAACTGCATTTGTTGTATTATCTCATTCTGATTGAATGTTGTTTTCACTTTCTGACATCTGTTTGATCTTTTCTTCCTGTGGTCTTTTTTTTTTTTTTTTAAAAAAAGGAGTTCGCCTTCAAGTGGAAATTATTATTTCTTTCACATGATTGGAGTACAGTGTTATCTTTAGACTGAAGAAGATATAGATTTTTCTGTGTTTGGAGGGGTCAGGTGGTCAAAAGGGAGAACCACAAATTATTTATGCATTACAGTATTGTGACATGAAAATGTCTGACTGGATACACCTTAGAAGTTAGAGAGATGTTTTTATTTTTCTATATTTCCCCTCAAATTTCAATGTACAATCATATTTGACGTAACATGATGTTGATGTGTACATTTTGTAGCTTCCTGACATGAAGACTCAAGCAATCATTATAGCAGCGCCATTTGCTTTTACCTTGGGTCTCCTGGCATCCATTTTTGCAGTCATCCTTGGTATGGTCTCAGTAACAGTAAACAGGACCACCATTTCCCACCCCAATTTTATTTTAATTACTGTTTGAATGTTTATTCGTGTTGCTTGCAGCAATAAAAGAGTATATATGGACATATGCTGCTCTCGAGTTTGCTCTTGTGGCTATAACCGTGCACCTGTTCTATACTATGGTGAGCGGAAATTTCCCATAATCATTTTGTACTATTGATGCCATATAAACCAAGCATGATGTTGCACAAGAAGGGGAATCAAGGAAAACAACCAAAATCCCTCAAAATATATTTTTTCATATGAATAATAAAGGTGTAATTTCCTAACAGTGATGGTAGGCCTGTGTATAGACAGCCTCAATGATCTGAGTTCTGAGAAGCGTTTATTTACCTGATCTTAGAGAGATGGAAGTGGAAGCTCTGTATTTTTGTCTTTTCTCTTCTATCTGAGACAGCCATTTGGTTTATCTGAAACAACTGTTAAATGTATCTTTTCGTGTGACTTGGTTGCAGGTACATTTGAAGGCCATATATGCAATACTGCTTTCATCAGTTCTGGGTTTTGGTATGGCTATGAGCATCAACTATGCATATATCCAGTATGTTTCTTGGCGTCTTCAAGTTCCCCAGGATGCCAACCCAGTATGAGTCTCCTCGACAAGGTTTTTCTGTTTATCTACTGACGTCACGACCTTCCCTGTGTTTACCAATCAATCAAATGTTGTATCCTCTCTCTCTTTCTATATATATATATATATATATATGATGTCATGTATTAGGATTTGAAGGCAAGCAAGGAAAACAGATTGTCTGGACTTTTTTGTTTAGGCAGTCTTTGTTCTAAAGAGGATTTTACTGTTAATATCTAAGATGAGTAAATTTTCATGCTAATGGATGCTGTGTAGCTTTCTGCTCATCAAGATAGGATGATGTTAAGTAGGCCATGTGATTCCATATTGATTTTGATTTTGTTCAACTCCCTCCGTTAAAAAATATAAGATATTTTTAATCGAATTTCATCCTCTAATAAAATAGTTACTTATATTCAAATTAATTTTATATTTTCATATTTATCCTTATTTAATAGAATGTTTCACCCTAAAATAAATATCAAGTGATTTATTTAGTAGAGGCACTTTTTTAAAAAAAATAATGATTATATCTTGAAAGATTAAAAATATTTTATATTTTTGAATATCTAACAGAAGTAATGCCTCACATTTTTAAATGAAAAAAGTATTTATAAATTTGATGTGGAACACAAATATCAAAAAAACAATGAGAACCGCCAGATTTAGATTCATGAGCAGCTGGTGTTGAGTATTAATGTTTATATGTATTTTTTTCAGAGTTTATTTGTTGATGGTTGCTTTTTATTTAATCTAACAAGTCTTGAACAAGATATTAGGCTATACATATTTCTTTTCATTCGATTGCACAGAGGAAAATAAATATGAAGACTGATAGTTTTAAAATTATATTAATTCATGATTAATTTTTACTCATGTTTTGAGGAAGACAAAGGTAAAAATCTGTAAAATTACATGGCGTATTTTAATTTTTTCCACCCTTGGAAGGAACTACAGACGTTATTTTTTGGATCCAATATTTTCTTCATTTGATATTCACGAGTGCCACTATGATCATCAAAAGCTTTGACCCTCTTAATTCCATACAAGAATCAGAGGTGCAACCAAAGTTATCACAAGGCACAAATTAAGGTTAACAAATTGAACGCAAGCCCATATCATTCATGTTCGAAAGGGGACAATTTGTTCACAAAGTAATTAGAATACAGTTACACGAGAGCTCAAGTACAACATATCATAAGTATAAAAAATCATTAAAGTTTTACATTTAGTCACTAAAAGGAAGGTTCTCTATCTCTTTACAATATTGGTTGAATAGATAGGAAAGCATCTCTCAAGTGAAAAGAAAATGGTACGGGGTGTGGTGAATATGTATAAGGTTTGCCTTCCTTTTTACAACTCATTTTTCTTCAAGAAAATAACAATCAAAGACCTTTATAAAATTTATATTAATTAAGAATAAGTTGTCAAAATTCAAATTAAAAACAAGCCCAAATAGATTGTTATTAATTTAAAATTAGATGTTAAAATTTAAATGGATACTTATTGATAAAAAATTAACCCGAATCGATAAATATTTATTCAAATTTTGACAATAATTGATCCTTAACTAATATAAATTTTATATAGAATTTGATTGCTATGTTCCCTTTTTCTTCCCTCGATCTCCCTTCTCTCTCACCACCTGAGAGACACTTTTGTATTAACTTACTTGAGATGACTGAAATCTTAGTTCACATGATCTGCGAAGAGTCTATGCCTGCAACGGAGAGGAGCACATCAGGAATGGACTACTGAAGATGCTAGCGCACAAAATTCTATTTCAATCACCCCATCAGATTAAGGAAAGAAATGAGAATAAATTTTCTCTGGTCTATGCCATATAAAGTTTTTCAATAAGAACAGACAATCGACTATTTGAAACCGTCAATCATGAAATGTTAAGCTGTAAAAAGTGTTACTATCTCATATCTTTATTAAAACGGAAAAAAAAAAAAACTTAATTCTAAGAAAATTGTGCTCGCCCCTATATTTAAGTAGACTTACTCTCAACATTTAACTCTTCGTAAATAATACAAGCGATTAAGACATTCCGACCTTTCATACTCCAGCTTCTGAGTAATTATGCCACTGAGTAATAGCTCTGAACCGTATATAGTTATCCCTGCAAAAGCATGGTATTCTAAATTTTGTGCGTATCATATAGCATTATATCTCAAGGAAGAGATTTCCTAACCTCTTTTGAGAAAAGACACACAGGAGGAATAATCTTTTTCACAAGATAGGACAAGCAAATCATCTGGAACCTCGTCATCCTTTCATAACAACTCTGACAGTTCTCTCCACTGCCTAAAATTTGGTAGAATTAAAAACGGTTGTTTTGGAATAAGCATCATTCTATAAAGATGTTTAGATAAATTAGCTAAACGGTTGATAACTTGCCTCAAAAGAAAACTTCCTAACCTGAAGATAAATGCCTGGGAGACTGACTGTGACTGTGTCCATTTAACTGAACCGTCAATTTCTTGATTACAAATCATGGATACAACAACAACAACAACAACAAGCCTTTATCCCACTAGGTGGGGTCGGCTACATGGATTGCAAGACGCCATTGTGCTCTATCATTTATTAAGCTTTTAGAAATATTATTAATTAAGAGATCACGTTCAACAACTTCCAAGAGTGTTCTCTTAGGCCTTCCTCTACCTCTCTTAATCGGACTCAAAGTTATATGTTCCACTCTTCTCACTGGTGCCTCCCTTGGTCTTCTTTGTACATGCCCAAACCATCTCAACCGATTTTCTACCATTTTTTCCTCAATAGGTGCCACCCTCACTTTTTCACGTATGTGCTCATTTCGAATTTTATCTTTACGTGTATGTCCGCACATCCATCGTAACATTCTCATCTCTGCTACTCCAACTTTATGCTCTTGCTGTCCCGTTAGAGCCCAGCATTCACTACTATATAACATTGCCGGTCTGATAGCAGTACGATAAAACTTTCCTTTAAGTTTATTAGGCACCCTACGGTCACAAATAACTCCTTTAGCTTTTCTCCAATTAAACCACCCAGCTTGAATTCTATGTGAAATATCTCCACTGATTTCGCCATCATTTTGAATAATGGCTCCCAAATATCTAAACTTTTCCACTTGAGGTATAATTTGATCTCCCAATTTCACTTCGAAATTATTTTCGAATAGTCCTTTACCAAATTTACAATATAAATATTCCGTCTTACTTCTACTCAGACGAAAACCTTTCGACTCCAATGTCCTCCTCCATAACTCAAGTTTGCAATTAACCTCTTCTCTTGTCTCTGCTATAAGAACTATATCATCCGCAAAGAGCATACATTTCGGGATTTCCTCTTGAATATGTTCCGTCAAAACATTTAAAATCAAGTTGAACAAATAAGGACTCAGAGATGATCCCTGATGTAGTCCAATCTTTATAGGAAAATCCTTTGTTTGACCACTAGGCGTTCTTATACTAGTTTTTACCCCCTCATACATATCTTGTATGGCTTTAATATAAGCAATCCGTACTCCCTTTTTTTCCAACGCTTTCCAAAGCACTTCTCTTGGTATACGGTCATAAGCTTTTTCCAAATCAATAAAAACCATGTGTAGATCTTTATCTTTACAACGATACTTTTCCATTAATCCCCTTAGTAGATAAATCGCCTCTGTAGTTGATCTACCTGGCATAAAACCAAATTGATTCTCAGAAATACTTGTCTCCAATCTCAACCTGTGCTCAATTACTTTCTCCCACAATTTCATTGTGTGGCTCATGAGTTTAATCCCTCTATAGTTAGTACAATTCTGAATATCTCCTTTATTTTTATAAATAGGAATTAATGTACTTCTCCTCCACTCATCAGGCATTTTCTTGGACCGTAAAATCACATTAAATAACTTAGTTAACCATCTCACCCCTTCTTCACCTAAACATTTCCACGCTTCGATAGATATACAATCAGGTCCGTTAGCTCTACCATTTGCCATTTTCTTAAGAGCTTCCTTTACCTCCTTATCACGTATTTTTCGATAGAATGACAAATTTTGTTCTCCTTCACCAGTTACTAAATCCTCCAAGTTACTAGATGAATCCTCTCCATCATTGAAAAGTTTAGAAAAATAAGTCTCCCATCTATTTTTAATTTCATCATCTGTAACTAAAATTCTTCCCTCTTCATCCTTAATACACCTTACCTGTTCTAGATCTCTTGATTTTCTTTCCCTACTCTTGGCAATCTTATAAATATTTTGCTCTCCTTCCTTCGTCTCAAGGTTCTTATAAAATTCTTCAAAAGCTTTGGAACGAGCTTCACCCACAGCTCTCTTAGTTTCCTTCTTAGCCATACGGTACCTCTCCCAATTTTCCTCATTGTTACACAAATGTATGGCTTTAAAACAGTTCTTCTTATACTTGATTTTGTCCTGTACACTATTATTCCACCACCAAGACTCCTTATCTCTCGGACCAGAACCTTTCGATTCTCCCAAAACTACTTTTGCAACCTCCCGTATCTTTTTAGCCATATCCTCCCATATGATGTTAGCACTTCCCTGAGAATCCCAAATTCCTTTATCCAAAAGATTTTGCTTGAAAATATCTTGCTTCTCACCTTTTAATTGCCACCACCTAATCCTTGGTGTTACTACTTGTCGACGTTTTTGGATTTTACTCATAATACACACATCAAGGACTAGGACCCTGTGTTGTGTCGTTACAGCATCTCCAGGGATCACCTTACAATTTTTACAAAGTTTTCTATCTGTGTTCCTAACCAAAAGAAAATCAATCTGCGACCTTGAGGCTCCACTTTTGTAAGTGATGAGATGCTCATCTCTCTTCTTGAAACAAGTGTTGGCAATTTTAAAATCATATGCCAATGAGAAATCAAGAAGAGTTTGCCCTTCATTGTTTAGCTCTCCAAAACCAAAACCACCATGCACCCTCGCATACTGACCAGCTTCCCTCCCGACATGCGCATTAAAGTCTCCTCCAATAAAAATCTTTTCACTCTGTGGTATGTGTCGAATCAACCCCTCCAGATCCTCCCAAAATAATTCCTTAAGACTGGCTTCTGTCCCGACTTGCGGCGCATAAGCGCTAACAATATTAACAGTCTCACGTCCAATTATCATTTTTAAAGAAATAATTCTGTCTCCAATTCTGCTAACTTCTACAACGTTCTTCTTCCACTCCTTATCTATAATGATGCCTACTCCATTGCGTGCACTTACTTTTCCTGTATACCAAAGTTTGAAACCTTGAATATCCTTAGCTCTTTCTCCACGCCATTTTGTTTCTTGCAAGCAAAGGATATTGATTT